GTTAGTTCCCAGGGGCAGTGGGAGCTGGGACTAGTCCCGGCTCACACCACCCCTGGGAGCTAATCCCACTGTGGTTCCCCTTTTTAAATGTAGTAAGAGCCAGGTGGTCTGCAACTGGCACCAACCGAGACTAAAGCAGTTCTGGCTTGCCCCGGGTCCTGCGCTTTTAAATGTTGTGAGAGCCACCTGTCTCTTTCTACATTTAAAAGGCAGAGCCACAGTGCCAGCTCCTGCTTCATCCCTCCACTTGCTGCCTCTGATATAGAGGCAGGAAGGGGGGGAATTTGAGTAGTCGACTGAACTACTCAATAACCCTAGGTATATCAGGTAGTCATTTATTCCAATACTCTTTTACATCTCTAGTGGTATAGTCACATGTCTTTGTAGGACCAACCATAGTCCAAGCTCACAGGAAAAACAAGACTATTCACAGATCTTTGTCTTGAGCACTGGGCCAGTAAATTCTCAAGGAATTCTCATTTTTGACAACAATGTGAAAAATGCGCATATCTTGTCTCTGCTGTTGCAAAAAAAGCAAATATGATTCTAGGTTGTATCAACAGGTGTGTTGTAAGCAAAACTCGTGAAGTCATTCTGCCGCTCTACTCTGCAGTAGTTAGGCCTCAGCTGGAGTACTGTGTCCAGTTCTGGGCGCCACATTTCAAGAAAGATGTGGAGAAATTGGAAAGGGTACAGAGAAGAGCGACAAGAATGATTAAAGGTTTAGAGAACATGACCTATGAAGCCAGGCTTCATGAACTGGGCTTGTTTAGTTTGGAAAAAAGAAGATTAAGGGGGGACATGATAGCGGTTTTCAAATATCTAAAAGGGTGTCACAAGGAGGAAGGAGAAAATTTGTTCCTCTTGGTTTCTGAGGACAGGACAAGGAGTAATGGGCTTAAAGTGCAGCAGGGGAGGTTTAGATTGGACATTAGGAAAAAATTCCTAACTGTCAGGGTGGTCAAATATTGGAATAAATTGCCAAGGGAGGTGGTGGAATCTCCCTCTCTGGAGATATTTAAGAACAGGTTAGATAGACATCTGTCAGGGATGGTGTAGACGGAGCTTGGTCCTGCCTTGAGGGCGGGGGGCTGGACTCGATGACCTCTTGAGGTCCCTTCCAGTCCTATTATTCTATGATGAGGTGTTAAATATATGTACATTTCACAAAATCAGTTAATCTACAGGTCTGGTTGTATCATGTGGTCACAACATTTAAATGATATTAAGATCTATAGACTTTAGCATGATTTTCAGTTTATTAAAAATAACTTTATAGGCTTTTATTAAGCCATACATGCAAGTGCATGATTTATTTACACAGAAAAGAAAATAAAGTTGCATGATCTGGAGTTCTTTTGGAAGGAGAATCAGGTCCACCATTTGCTACATAAATGTTAGTGTATGATTGCTCAGAATTACAAAATTTCAATTGATGTACATTGACAAATTTCCATATAGCCCAACATTTTAAAAAATAAAAAAGTATTCAAACATATTTTAAATTAAAACTTAAACATTTGCAAGGAATGCAACCCAGGCTCTGTGAAGTGACCTCAGGAGAACATCAAAACTGCTTATCCAGTCTAAATGTTTAAAAATGTCTTTATTTGGGAATGACTGTAGATTGATACATTGATGTTGTGGAAGCAGGCTCCTAACATAAGTGGAGGCAGGTCAAAGGGGATACTGAGTGGGGGCAGGATAAGCATGTTTAGGCAGGGAAAGAAAAACTGTAACATGTTTGGCTCTCAGCCAAACATGATAGCTGCTGTATCCTGCCCAGCAACAAGTTTGGGCATGTCAAGTAGTGGTTGTTTACTGCGCTGTATAAAAGAGTTCACCTGGCTGCGTCCAGTAGAAATCCCCTTGTGATTTGCTGTGTAATAAAAGTTCTGTTCATCAGGTCTCCGGCCTCCGTCTTGACTTTTCTCCAACAATGTGTTTTTGCATGTAATTTATGTTTCACTGGGGTAAGAAGCCTAGAACACAGTTTGATAGGTAGGTGCTTAATTACATATAGTTATTACTGAAGTCAGTAGAATTACACAGGCATACCCAACATCAGAGCCTTTGGTGCTTAAGCCTCCTTGTTCTTAGCTACATGGTTCATCAAACCACCTACATCATCCTCATCTCATGATGCTTTGCATTAACCTGGAAAGTGAATCTGGGCTTTAACAGCATAGCACAGGGGTTGGCAATAATTTTTGATGGGTGGGGAGCACTCCAAAATTTTGGAAAGTGGTCAAGGGACACATCTTTCATGATATTAGTGGAGGAGGTGCAGGGTCTGGGATGGAGGTTAGGTGCAGAAGGGAGATTGGAGTAAGGGACTGGGGTATAGGAGGGAGAACGGAGTTTGGGTAGGAGCCTGGGTGAAGGAGGCAGTTGTGACCTAGGACGGGATTGGGGTGCAGGGTTTTGGGATGTGACTTAGGGTAGGAAGGGATTATGATCTGGGGCAGGAGATTGGGGTGGGTGGTCTGGAAGGAAGTATAGTGCAGGACATAGAGGGGCAGGAGTGGGGGAGCACAAAGGAGGTGAAGGGAGGGACTGGGGTGCCACAGGCAGGGTCTGGCCAAGAGACTTACCAGCTAGCAGCCAAACCAGCCTGCCTACCTGCAGAGCTTAAAACATTTCTCAGCCAATCTGCCTGTTTGGTCATGTGCTTCTGTGAATATCTGAGCTGGAGGGGAGAAGGTGTGCTGCTTTGTAGCTGCCTGTTATTCAAACAGGCAGCTCCCATTGGTGTTTCTGGCCTGAAACCGGCTAATGGGATTGCGTGGGGTGGGGGGGCAGCACCTAAAGCTTTCCCCCTTCTCCTCCTGGATTACAGTTTTGAAAAGGAAACAGGGCCAGGCAGCTGTTCCTGAGCAGCATGGGGCCTGCAGGGCAAACAGGGGAGCCTGCCTACTGGGGCTCCCCTCTGCCGCTGGATCCAGTGGCTTGCTGGGCTGGGTTTTGCCCAGGCCTGGCACTCACCAGACCAGCGAGGAGAGGAGAGGAGAGGCAGGAGCAGCAGGCTAGAAACGTCTTTCTAAAAGTAACGTGGGGAAAATCCTTGTCAAGATGGAGCATGGCATGCCGGGGCCTGGCGCGTAGGGACACGCCTCATATGGAGCACTGCCCACTGGGAAATGGGGGGCTTGCTGGGCTGGGTTTTGCCCAGGCCTGGCACTCACCAGACCAGCGAGGAGAGGAGAGGAGAGGCAGGAGCAGCAGGCTAGAAACGTCTTTCTAAAAGTAACGTGGGGAAAATCCTTGTCAAGATGGAGCATGGCATGCCGGGGCCTGGCGCGTAGGGACACGCCTCATATGGAGCACTGCCCACTGGGAAATGGGGCTGGTGGCGCCGCACTCCGCGGCACGCGGGAAGGACGGCCGCATTGGGACACGCATGCGCCGTCGCCTCGCTGGCGCCAGGGCGCGCGTGCGCGGCGGCCGTCGCCGCCGGAAGGGCGGGGGCGGGGG